GATGAGTTTAGCTCTTTGAAAAAAACAAAGAAGAAGAAAGAAATCTCCCCTCAACCATCTCACAACTTGTTCGGTTATGTAGTACTACAGTTTAAACGTAGCGTTAGACATTCTAAATAGTAGCTCAGTGTGTAGGGTTCAAGTCCCACAGACCACAATACGGAGTGTGGACTGGTAGCTGGAGAGGTGCCAGATTCACCTCCTGTGCAGTGCAGAGGTGCCCTTGAGCAAGGCAACATAACCCCAAGAAACTGCTCAGCCCATCAATCCACCATCTCTCTCCCTGTTGCATGTCCACAAGTGCATGAAGTGTGTGTGTGTGTGTGTGTGTGTGTGTGTGTGTGTATGCATGTATGTATGTATGTATATATATATATATATATATATGTATGTATATATATATATAAAATATATTTGTCCCTCACAATCGGCCAGATAGCTCACGTATGGCCTCAATATAGCCTGTTTTCTATTTTCATTCATTCAACACTAACAACTTGCCATTTCTAATAGACTGTTCTTGTTGCAGATGTGTTTTGACATTCACAATGCTTAGTTTCTACGTCAACACAGCTGATGCAAATGCCACCTAATTCTTTTTTTTTTTTTTTTTTGCTTTCCACAAGGTTTCAAATGTTTGCATGAAATCCACTTGACAGACAGTTGTATGGAAACAATGTTGATAGGACTTCCTGTCTGCCTTTTGAACTAACTGTGCATATTTTGTTATCTGCCCTTTAGATAACTCGTCTGTATCCTCCAATATCTTTGCAGACCTTCTGTCTCTCTCCTTCTAAAGTATGCTTAGTTTCTCCCTGGTTGCTGCTCTGCAATATATTATTGCATATTGTCTATGATAACTAGTAGCTCAGTTATAGGTGAGCTCATCAGTGTTGTGATCCCACTGAGACTTTGATCTGTACTTCCTTTTTCCTCATCTGCTACTGGCTTTTGTCTCCAGTCCCCCCAACCACAGACAGATCATTAATGAGGAAAGACTAACAACACTCTGGCAGTGCTCTCTGCTTCATTTAAATGAAACGTAGTCTTAAACAAATGACATGTAAGAACCGCACTGACTGAGCAGAGGAGGATGGGAGTGGTTTTTTGCCATATGCGTACCTGCACTGCATTCAAATTAGCTGTGAATGTATGTGTGTGAAAGAGGGCCAACCATGCAGTGATTATGTGGCCAGAGTGCACAGATTAATGGGTCAGCTTATCTAAATGTCTCTTGCTTTGTGTCTCTCTCTGATACACATACTGCGTACAAACTGTAAAAATGTACTCCAGCAATATGTATTCAAATTACAAGCTCCATAACCATTTTGAGAATGCACTGACATGTTTGACTTGTTCATTTGCCTCTCTGACAGGCCTTAGGTAATGATGAATCACACTAAAGCGTGTGTCAGTGCATACCACTGGGCGTTTACTCTGAACACTGTTAGCTACCGAGGCTGACCGCTCCACTCTTGTCCTGGAGGCCTTTTTCCATCCCACATGACTCTATGCTGATCTGTTGGCCCGAGGACATGGAGACAGCTGAGAGGTGTGTGCGTGTGTGCCTGTGTGTGTGTGTGCCTGTGTGTGTGTGTGTGTGCCTGTGTGTGTGTGTGTGTGTGTGTGTGTGTGTGTGTGTGTGTGTGTGTGTGTGTGTGTGTGTGTGTGTGTGTGTGTGTGTGTGTGTGTGTAGGCCGCAACCAGCCGATTTGTAGGTGGGGCTCCAGCTGCACTTGGTGGCAGGCGGTCACAGGTCTAATAATAAGACGCCTGAATCTAAATCCAACCTGTTACATAATTCACATCACACATTATCAAGAGAAGGAGAGGTCACACACACATTAAAAAAATAAAGACCGGTGTTTCATTGTGTGTTAGTATTTTGGTCTGAAAAGTGCAAAAGGTATCAGCAAAGCCTGTTATTAAACAGTGGACCTAAACCTGATTATGTGTTCCTGATTTGAAATGTTTTCTGTTTGCATTTCTCAAGCAGCTCTAGTAGTTGCTATGGTACTTCTCCAACTGAATGCAAGGGGGCCAGTGGAGTTTACACACAGGTTTGAAAGGAAGAGAGACCAGACTACATCATATATACATTACGCACTGAGATATCTCAAACAAACTGGGGAGAGAGAGAAGTCGTCTTAAAGACATTCATTAATTCAAGAAGTACAAATATACATTTATGAGAGACGGATTTCACATTTTAAAGAGATGGAGAGGCAGGAATAAATTGGTCACGGCCCAGTGGGAAAGGGAGGAGGAGGGGGGGAGGAGGAGGGGGAGCAAAAGGCAGGACTGAACATTGGTAAGGTTTAATGATTGGTAAACAGAGAGAGGTGATTTAACTCTGTAGAGATTTCAGCATCCTGCATCAAGCTCAAACAACACTGTCCGGATATTACAGTCAGTTAGTTTTTTTTTTTTTTTTAAGTTGTTGAAAAAGGACAAAAGTAGTTCAGTTCTGTAAATGTGTTTTTTTTATGTTGAACACAGGTTTCTCTTTTCCTGTCTATGAAAAGGTTGCCTACTTCTCTGCCTTTTTTGTGTTGTCCTGTATCCTAATCACCTCCCTGCTTCCATTTATCTTGTTTCTTTGTGTGTGTGTGTGTGTGTGTGTGTGTGTGTGTGTGTGTGTGTCTGTGTGTGTCTGTGTGTGTCTGTGTGTGTCTGTGTGTGTCTGTGTGTGTGTGTGTGTGTGTGTGTAGGCTTCATAGGAATGTTCTATTCAGGCACGACGCCCTAAAGAATGACAGCTCACATCTATGCATATGTAGGCTGGGCCTCTTAACCAAAGCCTCCATCACTAGTCCTTTGTCCTGCATTACACGTGTGTGTGTGTTGTGTGTGTGTGTGTGTATTTGTGTTCATGTGTTTGGTGTGTTTGTGTATCACTGTGTCTTTGGTATATGTGCTCTTTAGCTGTGTATGTATGTGTTACTGGGTTTGCCTTTCCTAGAAAGCAGCCATATGACACCCACTCTGCACACACGATTGGGGCTCTGTGTGTAGGGTTTCTGTATGTAGGGGCTCTGTTTGTGCATGTGTGTGTTGAAGTGGGGGGGAATGTGTAGCACACCACTTCCCAGAGGATATTTTCTGCTGTTCCCTTTATCACTCTTCTACCTCCCTCTCTTCATTCATCCGATCTTCCTTTCTCCTTTGCTCCTCGCCTCCGTCATGGAGCATCACCTTTAGCCCAAATCCCCGGATAGGACCAGGGAAGGAAGCCTTTTACAGTGTGGATTGGGAATATACCTTAACACGTACTATATATCCAGTACATTCAAGCCAACCATCGTGTAAAGGTGACTCTGTGACCTTGAATCTTGACTTTTGTCATATATTACTCCCTCTGGTCTCCCTTTGTTCAAGCCTTTCCGATTGCAGCCCATAAAGAAAAGGATATTGTCCCTGAATATAGCCTCCCTCTCCATCTCTTTCACCCTGCGCTTATTCAGCCTACAGCTGGCTAACAGAAGCCCCCCCTCCCTCCAGTACCATCCCCTTCCCTCCCTCCTCATGTTTTGTGTTGGACTGCGCCTCTCTCCACGTGCAGCAGCAGCAGCTTAAAGGCATGTAGGAGGAGTTCCCTGAGAGGAATGTGGCTGACTGGCTGGCTGACTGCAATACGCCACACACACACACACACACACACACACACACATACAGCAGCAGCTCGTAGCTAACGCTTCTGCAGAGCCAGCTGAGAGGGACTCTCTTCTAGTGGGAGGAGGACAGGCTGTGTGTGTATTTGTATGTCTAGCCTTATGAGGGCCTCAAAATGCTTAAAACATGCAAAAAATATCCATGCGATTGTGACCTAATATTTGCTGGACTCACAATTTAAATGAAGGCAGGAGAAGAAGGGCTTGAGATTGTAGGCCAGGCAGCTTCGTGCGTCAGTGTTTTTCGCTTGTGTGCTGTAAAGAAAGAGAGCTGTGATTCTTAGAGCTGTTGTGTATCAGCTGACCTCCTGCGGGATTCTGGGAGTTTTCTCTGGAGGAGTGCAGGAGCTAAGGCGGGTTCTTCAGCCTCCTTCTAAAAATACCCCTGCTTTAGATCTAAGCTTCAATTACAATCACAAACAAAGCATGATTTTGTTAATGCTGTTGTGGTATGACACAAACTGATGAGCCACAGCTACAATTTGTAACATTTGACTGGTGACCTAACAGCCTCCATCTTGATCCTTGTAAAATCTGCTATAAATGTGATTATTGTGAATAATATAATATGACAGCCAGCAGAGTGCTTCTTGTCAGTAGTCTTTCTGCTTCTGCATAATAGTTCATTTCAACATTGTTGCAGTTGATTCAGAAGGGAATAGCCCATTCCTGAATGGTGAGAGGTTGTATCAGCTCTTTGTCCTGCTAGGTCTTGGTCACCCTACCAGCCCTGCCCAACCCCACCCTGGTAAAAATTTCTGGAGCACCAGGTGGTGAAGCATTACTCTGTTCTATTATTTCTATTATTTACTGTTAAACGGCTGTGTTTTTGTTAGCAAATGCTTTGTCAGTGAGTGTGAATGACGTTGTCAGTGCTGCCTATACGTGTGTGTGTGTGTGTGTGTGTGTGTGTGTGTGTGTGTGTGTGTGTGTGTTGTATAAGGGAGAGAGCAGACAGTGTGCAGCTTCACCCCTCAGCTCAGCTGACATGGAAGGTCTAAATATATTCCTTTGAAGCGGCCAAACTGGAAAAGTTGTGTCACCCGCTGCCTTCCCCCACACCCATTCTCTAAACAAGTCTTTCCAGCCAAAGCTAAATTGCCATATCCACTTAAGCAAAAACCTGGACAAAGACTTTCAGACATTCATGTGCTTATCATGTCAATACAGGTGTCTTTGTGATTGTGTTTGTATTGCCCCCACATCCGTCACAGGATAGGTAAATTAGCACTATACTTGCTACTTACCTCAAATTGGTTCCATGTTTATATTTAGATGTGAAGGGATTTTAAAATATATGCTGACCCACTGTTTCTCTGCCTTGTCTAGATGCCACCGAGGAGTTTTTCGAGTACGATGCAGAGGAGTTCCTGGTGTTCCTGACCTTGCTCATCACCGAGGGAAGGACACCAGAATATTCTGTGAAAGGCAGAACCGAGGGGCTGCACTGTCCACCGGCCCAGTCGGCCATGCCGCCTCTTCACAAGCATGAATGCAGCGACAAACTGCCGCAGGTAGAACAAGTCCACGTGCTTCTATGTACACGGCCTGTCATGTATTTTCCTAAAGTGTGAACAGAAGACAGCCTCTTCTCATTTTACTAGAGGTTGTTGTTTCTGCTTCACTTGCATCATTCGAGTCACAAGTGTTAAGTGAGACTCACTTATCAATTGAGCTCCACACTTGTGTGTACTTTAGATACACACTATTGTTTATTAGGGATATTAGTGATACTTGTGTATTTTCTGTACTTTGTATTGTATTTGTGTTGTATTTTGCCAACACAGCTGGAACTCGGCACCCTACGCACTCAATGCAACAGCTATAGAGAATAGCCTATATACAGTAAACTCCCGCAGTGGAAATATTTTTAATATTGTGACCTGAGATGTGACCTAAATAACATCATTGAGAAATTCACCTCTAAAGTGAGGCTCTTTTAGGGTCCCATCTGCTTTGCCCCTAAATTTCAAGGTCCTGGTGTTGACATTCACTAATGAGCACTAACCCTCCACCTTTATCTGTGGGTGTGTGTGTGTGTGTTCAGTGTCGGCAGGCAAGGCGAACCCGTTCAGAGGTGATCCTGCTTTGGAAGAACAGCATCCCCATCATGATTGAGGTCATGCTTCTGCCAGACTGTTGCTATGGGGATGAGTGCCCCCCGAGTGACCCCATCAACGACCCGGTCATCAAACAAGATGCTCTACTGCTGGAGAGATGGACCCTGCAGCCAGTTCCAAGACAGTAAGGCATACACTTTTGATCTTACTACTTAAACATGGTTAGTGCTAAAGAAAAGTGCACGTTTGTCATTTTTTATAATAGATATGGTGAAGCTATATTCAGACAAAGGAGGCTACGCTCCAACAATGTGTTTAAAGTCAGCAGTTTACAAGAGAAATTCAGTGTGTTTATATTTCCAAGGTCGCTGCTGCCTCCCATCATCCATTTATGTCCTTGGATTGTTTATACAACTAATGCTTTATCATACTCCTCTTACTTTGACTTGAGTTAAAATAAATAAAAAAGTTTAAAAGAAATAAGGTAAAGGTAAAAAAAAAAAAAAAAAAATATATATATATATATATATATATATATATATATATATATAACTGATCACATGTATGAGCACACACATGCCCCGGTTTTACCAGCAGGCCTATAGCACTTGAATTGAATTGGTTGTTGTTTAAACCTCTCAACTGTTCCGTGTATTATCTTTACAAATATTTCAAAAGGTTATAAATTGTCAGCAAAATAGTTTTAAAAGGGGAAAGTTTTGAAATTCAACAGCAAGGCAAAAAAATCTAAAAATATGAAATATAATAAAACTAAAAGAAAAAACCCCAGATAACTGGCTTGGTACTCAAAGGGTTAATTAGCCTTACAAGTTGGCCCACTTTCCTACTCACATGTGCATGTACAGGGAACACTATGTTTGAAAAACACACACACATCCTTGAACTGTTTTCTCATTAACCTGACATACTGGCACATTTCCACCTCTTTCTGACTGTGTTTTTAATAGAAGCGGCGATCGCTTCATTGAGGAGAAGACCCTGCTGTTGGCTGTTCGCTCTTATGTGTTCTTCTCCCAGCTCAGCGCCTGGCTCAGCGCCTCGCATGGCATCGTCCCCAGAAACATCCTGTACAGGTCAGACATAACACTCACTGAAGACTTTGACACTGGTGGGCTGAAGGCTTTTCACTGTGGCGGTTGGACCAGATTATTAAAGCTGCAGGAAACTTGATCTAAAGTTGTGTTGTTTTCAAATGTGTGTGTATATATATATATATATATATATATATATATATATATATATATATATACTGCGCTATAAAGAAAACCTACAATTTTGGTCAAAATTGAGTTATGACTGAAAATGAACTTTTAAATGTATCTTTTATCTCGTGACAAGTTTTCAAAATCAGCCTTGCTCTATCTTAGAGAACAAAAACGATGTAAAAATTCCAGTAACTACAAAATCCCACCAAAACCAAGACGAGCCACAGTAAATGCAGTTACTGCACTCGTCCTTGGTTTCTCACTGAAGCTGCAGTGTCTGTAAATCCTGTATTCTGGACAATTTTGGGACAATTCAGGAAATAAAAACAAAGGGAATCTTCATGTTCTCCACTGGGAACTCTTACTGACTTCATCTGTGTATTATTAGCTGAGCCGATTTTAGTTGATAGTATAATAGTAATAATAGTTTGGATATTACTGTGCTAGCACTAGCTAGCTAGACAGTACAAGGTATTCCTGTGCTACGGCTAACTAACTAGACAGGACAAATGATTACTGTGCTAATTAAACCTAGCAAAATAATACTTACATTCTAAATTACTCATCTTTCTTTCTTTTATCATCTCATTTCAACCTACACATGAAACAATAAGAAATACAGATTTAATGTTATAAGACATCAAATTAGATTTAGATTTTATCAGGAAGAAGACACTAAAACTGTAGTTACTGCACCCTGTCTATGCACTACTTATATATCTGTTTATAGTAATACAAAGACAGTGGGCAGTATCTGCATTTTTGGGGTCACAGGTCAAGTGTGATTTTTAAGCCATAAAAATTACTTTGAGAATACATATTTAATAAGCACATGACTGGTGTTCTACATAAAACAACTCTGGCTGGTCCAAAAACTTTGAGGCCATTTTTCTCATTTTCACTGTTATCACAGTTACTGCGGTTAGGCTTTGTAGGGCAGTATAGGTGTACATTTTATTTACTGTTGTTCTTCCTAAAATTGAATGCGAGCAAGTAAAACTGAATTGTGTTTATTGACTCTCTCTCTGTCAAACAGGATCAGTGCTGCTGATGAGGACTTGGTGTGGCAGTTCTCCCAGCCACCTTCAGAGCACATTTTCCCCGTCCCTAATGTATCCCAGAGTGTTGCACTACAGGTTCGTGTCCAATCGCTCCCCCGCCAACCCACCTACCCCACCCTTGCCTGCAGCATCCACACCGGCCTGCCTCCTCTTTACAGTAAGACCCCCAGCCTCAATCCAAACCTCAACAGCCATGGTGGCTTGCCCACCCTCAAAAAGAGCCAGGACCCCAGCAAAGACAACCTCCTTCAAAACTCTAACATGTACAGCAAGAGTTCCAACTCTATGTCTGGTCTTCTCCTCAATGGGTTACCCATTCCCAATCTTCCCATCAACAACATCCCAATTAATAGCCTTCCCCACACTGCGGTGCCACCTCCCTACAGCAAGAAGAGCCAGGAGCCTGGTGAAGACCACACGTATCAGAATGGAGAGCTTCCACAGGTCAACATCCCCCAACATCAGGGCTCCCCTCTGTTCCACAGGTCCTCTCACTCCCCCAAGCCCTCCCGTTCCCACTCCCCCTCCCCGCTTCCCACAAGTAAAGCAGGGAAGTGGCTGTATTCTGCTCTCAATGGTTCATCTGATCCCACACAAGTAGAGGACTATGGGTCTGGTACCAACAACAGTGAGAAGTCAAAGGGGCCCATCCCAGAGCCACTGAGAGCATTTAAGAATTTCTCCTTGGCAGAGCCACCCCGCTGCCCCTCCCCGAGGCCCGCTGCATCTGAGACAAACCCTCTGATTGGCTCCCTGCTGCAGGAGAGACAGGAAGTTATCGCCCGCATCGCACAGAGGCTCAACTTCTGTGACCCCACAGCACCGCCACTGCCTCCCGGCCTTTTTGCTTCTGACAACCCTCCAAAAGCCATGTGGGGCAGTAACCATGACGACATAACTGCCAGTAAGACCAAAGAGCCAGAGGTACCCCCCTATGAGTCTGTGGGACGTGTGTGGCCCAGCCCCTTCAACACACCTGTGACTGACACTTCTTTCAACAAACGGGAGAGCTCCTCCCCTAAACCCGCAGCCTGCAGGAAGCTGAAAATGACTGAGACAAGAGACACAGAGGAGGAGAGGAATGGAGAGAGAGAGAAAGAGAAGGAGAAAGACAAGGAGAGGGGGAGAGACAGCTCGCTGATTGCCCAGGCAGTACAAGACATTACTAGACTCATCCAAGAGAGACTGTCTGTCCCTTCTCTGTCCCCGAGGCACAGCAGGAGCAGCAGCCCTCTGCACCACACGCACACAACAACAGTCACACACACGGTCCGCACATACTCACACACCACACACGTCCCACAAGCCTCCTCGCACACTGCCACCAACGGTTACACCAACGGCCACATACCTAGCCATGAACTTCGCAGAGGCAGCACGCACACCGCCGCCACACACGCGCCTGTTTGCACAGACAAGCCCCGAGTCGATCCGGGGACCGAACGCCATTCTCCCCGGGCCCAAAATGGTGCTCACTTTACACTTGAAGAACCCTTATTCAAAGGCCAGTCCCGCACCCAGGCTGGTCAGCGTTTACGAATTCCCCCACAGGAAAAGCTCAGAGTCAGGATACCCAGCAGCCATGAAACCCCCTCTGCCTCCCCTGTCCTTGAGAACAGCCCAAGGAATACCCAGATCTTTAGTTGGACTTGCAATGATGCCAGCCCAGCCATGAACTGTAACATAAGCCACAACCACAGCAAGCCTCAGCCTCAGCCTCAATACCAGTCCCAGATACAGGTGCAGACCTGTGCGACAGCCCAGGCCTCTTCCCCGCAGGATGAGAACCAAGCACCCTCGGAGACAGGATGCTCCAGCAGTCCAGACAAGACTCCCCCTGCTACTGTCCTGGTAAGAGTCTCGTCATTTTGTCCAAATACTTTTAAGTGATAGTCCATCTGCAATTTCCCCATTGCGGGACAAATAAAGGTTTTCTTATCTTATTTAGTAAGCTGCAGTATTCCAGCTGTCATGCCTTATGCCTGCTTAAAGGAGAAATGTAAAAACAGTAAGCTGTGTTTTACAAGAGGTTGTGTGGAACTATTTTTTGGTCAGAAGCAGGGATTTTATATTCTCAAAAAGTAGATATATAATTTGTTGGGTTTTTTTTATTATGATTGGAACAAACAAAAAAATGACTCATTCCATTACAAAATGTCAAGAACTTTAAATTACACTTAAAGTGATGACACTTAATTTCAGAAATTAGCAAGTAGGTAACAACATGCATCGCATTTCTCAAATTCAACACCTCAAACTGGAATGACCCTCCTCATTTATAAACCCGGCAGAGTGTTTTGTTGGGAGCAGGTGGGACTGGAGTGGTAATCAAGATGGCGTATGATTTATGAGAACAAGGTTTGATAAACACAGATGATTTCAGTTCCCTTGCAAGCTGCCTTAATCTCTGTCCATCTCTGTGCTCCAGCGAGCTCACAGCCCCTCCCCTCTGCGTCCCTGCAACAGCTGGAAGAAACAGAATCGCCACTCATTAGACGCCACAGCGACCAAGGCCTTCCACCCCTGTACTGGCCTGCCTCTGCTCTCCAGCCCTGTAAGAAACACACTCACACACTAATCTACACAGTGAAACCCACAGTCATGGTTAGTTTCTACTTTCACATGCCGGCTCACAGTCACACTTACTGACTCAGTCATCGTCGGTGTCCATGCAGTTGTGTTTGTCATAACAACACACTCAATACCCTGTATTTGAAGCCATCTGAAGGCATTACTCACATTACTTTCACCAGTGTAAGAAGCGGGCCTCTAAATGTTGGTCATAAAAAGACTATGCAATATCTGGCAGGGTATTTTTTATTGCTGCTGGGCCACTGAGTTTGGTAGCCAAGGTTAATGTACACACAAAAACACGCTCACACACATAGGCGGATAAGGCACGTGACTCATGTGTGCCTCATCAGCCACAGTAAGTTGTTTTACTGAGGTTGTCGGATTACCACATTCCTTGATCATCACATTTTCCTGTGTCTTTGTGCAGTCTTACTCACACATATAAGCTTGAGTGTACACACAGACAACAGTCTCACAAACACACAAGCTCACATATTTTCACATACATGACGCACATTGCACAAACTTTATGTAAAAACATACGAAATCAGTTTATCTTCATGACATCTTTAAACCCATTGTATAATTTAGAAAATATATAGTTTTATGAAGGATTAAAATTGTATATTTTCTGTTATTGAAGACTCAAATTTTGTTGCTGTTTTTGCTTTTAAATGTCTCTCCTGGACTTAAAAAAGTCCTACCATTGCTCTGTGCTAACCATGTCCTGTGTGTCGACGGCAGGTTCCTCAGAGGAAAAATCAAACGGGCTACTTTGACCTGGACACCTCTCTGGTTGGCTGTAAGGGTTTGCCTTGGGCCTCTGGGAAAAGGTACACATTTTCTCACCTGGGATCTTTGTTACTGTGGTTACCAGACGTAAACTTTGTCCGCGATGATAAGGTCAGGCTACTACTACAGGTTTATTGAAGTCTGTGCTTTCAGCTATTGCCTGCCTGGGGACTAAAGATCAGAGTCCTGAACCAGGTCGGGCAACCCACCAAAACGTTAACGGTAACGGGCCGGTTGCGGTTCTGAGCTCTGCGGGTGCGTGCCAGGACTTACAGATTAAAATGAACATTTCTGGCAAACTCTTGTTTATTTTCAGAAATTATTTCTGAAATTAATATGCACTGTCACTGAAGTAATAAACTAAACTAAACTTAATAAACAGCTAAAAGACAGAGCATTTTTTGCTTCACAGTTGCCTCCCACATCATCTGTGTATTATAGTACCATCTGGATCAAGATACTCAGACTTTGCATCATCAAGCTTACTTGTTTTTCTCGCTTTGCAACATATCAGCTGTTACTTAGTGTAAGTGCCAGCGAGGCAGCAAGTGTGTTTTTGATATTCTTGGTAGTTCTTTATTGTCTTTAAAGTTAAGTTGTTATTAGAGCTTTTTTAGTTTATCGGCAGTATCAATCTAGCTATCCAGTGTCATATGACCTGTATACAGGGTGTTCGCAGGTTCTTAAAAAGTCTAAAATCTGTAACCTGAATTTTAGGCATTTAAAATGTCTTAAATATGATTTTGTCTTAAAAGTTGGATTAATGGAGAGAATGTTACTTTTAAATGTGTTTTGGGGAAATTTGTTATTGGTCCACGCTATAACTACAAAACAAAACTGACAAATACCGATTTGGTAAAAGCCTGTTTATGTAAGTGATCCATCTATATTAGAGACTTGCTACAGCTACCATATTTAAACCCTTACAAGCTGACATAGCCTCGGATCAGCAATACGTTTTAGAAGTATTGTCCGTGCGTTGTGAGATCAGACAATAAGAGTGTTGTTCTCAGTGGTAAGGTTAGGTCAGCCCTGTTCTGCTGACTAGTCCTCTCACGCTGCCACCTGCTGAAGCTCTGCTGTACTGTGACTGCATCTAGAATCACACACATTCTGCTCAAAATGGCAGACAGAACTGAATTGGCTTTATATACACAGAGCTTCACGGCACTGCCTACACACAGCAGATGTGGGTGGTAGCTCAGTGCTGCTTTTGATACAGCAGATGTTTCAAGAGTTTGGCCTACAGGGTGGAATTCATTTTAGCCACAGGTCAAGTTCTGGTCAATTTGGCTGTGGCTGATTAAAAGACAATAAAATTGCCTTTTTTAATTGTAGAATTTAACTTTTTTTTTTATTATACTTGATTAAAGATTTATATGTGTGAACATTGATTGCAAATTATTATATAATTGTATGCCTGTTCTTCCAGTAAATTAAGATGTCAGTGTTTTGTGACAAATAAGATTAGGTCTGGTCGTTATGTAGCAGATCTATTCAGTCATACCAGGCATGCTTGTCATGTCAGCATCTTTCATACATCACGCATTGAAAACAAGTTGATCAAGTGTTTGTGCTTTAACCCTTCAGGGTGTGTCCAAAGAGAGAGGGGTACACAGATGAGTCACAGCAGCTGTTCAGTGCCAGCGCTCCACCTGCCAGTCTCAGTCTGCTGGGGAACTTTGAGGTATAGCACACAGACACTCAAAATCATGTCTTTTTCATCCAGAATTTTTTGTGAGTTTCCCTCATGCCAGTTTTCATCCCTAAATAATCCAAATGAAACAGAGTGCTCACAAAGGAAATTGATTCAGCTGCCGGACTTCTTTAAAGTGCAAAATCTGGACTAGCCATCATCTAGCAGCTTTCACATTTTGCTTGCTAACTTTTCAAAAGATTACATAATAACTTTACTGGATGAAAAATTGAGTTTCTGTCCTGGATGAAAAAGAAAAAGGCCAGAGCCAAAATCAATGATGACGTATGTGTGTGAACAATATAGAAAGAAAATGAATAGATGTAACTGTGTCTCTCCAGGAGTGTGTGCTGAACTACCGTCTGGAGCCTTTGGGGTTAGTAGAGGGTTTCACAGCAGAGGTCGGAGCCAGCGGTTCCTTCTGCCCCAGTCACCTGACCTTACCTGTGGAAGTGTCGTTCTATAGTGTCTCCGATGACAACGCTCCTTCACCATATATGGTGGGATTACTTTTCTTTCCCAGTTAGTCAATCAATAATTCAGTATTCTTTCCTGCCTGCATCACTGAGTTGAGCTGAACGCTGTATCTGCTACTGTGCTTATATATGTGTGTGTGTGTGTGTGTGTGTGTGTGTGAGCTCTAGTGTGTATTACCTTCTTATGCATGTTTGTAACACAGTGTGTTGTGTTTTCTCACAGGGTGTCATAAACCTGGAGTCCCTGGGGAAAAGGGGCTACCGTGTACCTCCATCAGGAACCATTCAAGTGGTAAGGAAGCATTCAGGGTTCTTTTTTTTTTCTCAATTGTAGAAATGTTGTAAAAATGTTTATTTCTATAAGATATCGGCATCATGGTGTACACATGGCTCAGAACAAAGAGCACATTAACAATCAGCAAAAGGAAAGGGAGACACCTAGTGGTTATTGAGGAAAATTCAACATGTAACATACAGATTAAAAGGCATGTTTTTTATTAATTTATGGCGCATACACTGAATTTGAAATACATTTTCCTGTATATATGGATGTAAGTTGTGATCTTCATTTTATGTATCTTTCACAGCATGTAAGATTCTGTTGTGTCTGTATAGATTGATAAAATCAGGTCACAAAGAGTGTCTATCTTAATCCTCCTATCTTCTCTGGCTATACAACTCAGACCTTATTCAACCCCAACAAGACAGTCGTCAAGATGTTTGTTGTGATGTACGACCTACGAGCTATGCCAGCTGGACACCAGACCTTCCTACGGCAGAGGACTTTCTCTGTTCCTGTCCGCCGTGACATAAACAATCAGACCAGCAGGAAGGCCCACACCCATGGACGCACCTTGCGCTACCTCGTTCATCTGAGGTTAGTTGGTTGTCATTGGGTCTCTAGTACACACTAAAACTGGATTATAGCCAGTAGCAGTGATGTTTGTCCTCCCCTTGCTCATCATCCCCGTCTTTGGTCTCCCTCTCTAATCCCAACCAGGTTCCAGAGTTCTAAGTCTGGGAAGATCTACCTCCATAGGGACATCCGTCTACTGTTTTCCAGGAAGTCCATGGAGGTGGACAGCGGTGCTGCTTACGAGCTCCAGTCCTTCACAGAGTTGCCCATTGACCCACCATTCTCTCCCCGCTGCTGAGGCCTGACCCCCTCCCTCCTCCGCCCGGCAGGCCACTACCGAAGCTTCAGTCACACATCGATGCCAGCGATAGACTCTTACTCAGCCCATGGCTAGTTGAAAAGGCTCTAAAAGAGATGCTATTTAAGGACGGCACTCAACAAGACCCACCTGGCCTGTGCCCAAAATCTTATGTTTCAGCCCCTCTGTCATCCAGAACTGACAAAGGGGGGCAGCTAAGAGGCTGGGAGACTGGCCAGAAATAAAATCTTGTCTGTTAAGTGCACGACTTTGGGTCAAAGGTTACGGTTAACGGTTACAGTTAAAGAGTATGTTTCAGATCCCATTCTCCTGGTTAAGAAGGCCTTACCAGATATGATAGGTAACTCTTTTTCCTGCTGTTGTGTGTATCCCCTCCAGTGACTGGCAGGAGAGTAGAGACCAGTGATTGTCTACAGAAGCAGTTAGACACTTCAATTATTTCAGCAGAGTTTAGGCTACTTAACTCTGTTTCCACAAATCACAATGTTAATTGGACCTCATAATTAATAAGTGTTCAATCTCAATTAGTTTCATTATAAATTCAATAAAAGGCCCTTTTACTGGTTAAACATTTTATTTTATTATTTATCCTTGAAGATTATACTGATTGAACACAGCTTGTGACCCAGTGATTCCGGAGCTCGGAGCAGAGGGAGTGCGTACGGAAGAGGAAGCGGGTGGCAGACTGTGGTGCAATGCCATCCCTACGTCTGAAAGAAACCAACCAACACACACCATGGACCACTAAAGAAGTCGAACAAGCAATCAAGCTAGATTCAACTGAAAGCATCACAGCAGAACATCAGAAATGCACTGTGGATTTTCTTTCTCATTATAACTGGAAATGAAACAGAAAATAGTAATATTCTAATACTTTTGTACTGTTACAGAACCACTTTATTGGAAGTGTTGCAATAGGAAGAGTAACCTTAGTTTAGTGTTTACACATTCACTTTTCAGTTTACTTAACCATCAGTTTATTTAATATTTAAATTAATATTTCAGTTACTACTTGTGACGTCTGTCATGCTAAGATGATGTAGTGCAAACTGTATATCATAGTATGTATTTTTGACATTAATATTCAAATCTGAAAAAATATATCTATATATCTTCTAAAGCAATCTTGAAAGCTGCTCTGTCTTTTTGTGTTATTATTTGTCCCATTGTGTTTCCTGTTCTACTTCTACAGCCACCAAATGTTGAAATAATTAACAAAGATGACCAGCAGATGATTATGTCATGGGTTCCTATTAATCGTTTTTAATTAAAATGATTTTGAAATTGCTCCTAAATTGCATAATATGAATTAAACAACAGATCTTTGGTGCAGCTGTGGGTTTGGGGAATTATATACAAGTTGGTAAACAAAAATGTATAATCAGTTTTGCTGTCAGCCCTGTTACTAGTGTTATAACCTTTGACTTGTAAATACCTTTTAAAGTCTATAAAAATCAATGAAACAAAACAAATGCTAAAATTGGTAACGGGGTTGACTTTAGAGAGGGACCACAATGGCTTATAGTTTCAAGTTTTTTTACACTGTTGTTGGTTTCATAACTATAATTAACACAAACACAGAGGCAACCCGTCTTACACCACATAAGGTGTCTGTGGATGGTAGATCCTGAACACATTTATCATGGCAACTGGCAAATGAGAGTTCAACATATTTGCACATCGACATATTTTAGGATCATAAGTGCCAAAGAAATGCAGATTTTGTCCAAAATAATCTAGTCTGAAAGGTCAAAAGTCTAAATGTGATCAAATTAGTTATAGACAAAACTACATATCCCAAAAGTTTTTTAGTAATATTCAGAGGTATAAATATGTGTGTGTGTGTGTGTGTGTAGCACACTGATATATTCCCTCACTCTTAATGCTGGGAGATGTGGCTTGATGTCAGCAGTTGCCAACCACTTCACACTCATGGTACTGCTGTCAGTTTGGCACACAGGGCTGCAAATAGGTGGTGGTAATCTAATATGGCAGCCACTCAAATTCATCTGCACAGGATCACCAGATTTGCATGCATAATTTATTTTGCATGGTGACAAAGTCAGGCTGTAAATCTGTAGCTGACACTCAAGTGTGTGTGTATGCTGTGCTGCTCATTCACCTGTAATTTAGCACAATGTGAGCAGAGCAACCGCATATCTCAACTTCCGCCACAAAATAAAAAAACAGTGGTACGAGAATACATACAAAACGAACCAGTGCAGTATTTATCATCCTCCAGATCTGAGGATTATTTGACTCAAATCTGGATTTATGTTACAGCACATGGGTCTAACAGCTGATCGGTATGTTACGCAATGCAAATCCGATCCAGCACTAAATGCGGGTGCACGGCAGGAGTGCCAGAGCGTGAGCGCGCATGGTGTCTCCGCATGTGACGTAGTATCTCTTATGCGGGATTGCGCGCTCGGCAGGACTCGTATGGGTACGGAAAGTCAGAGCAGGGGATTTGTGGATCACTTGTCCGAGATCACGATAATATAGACATGTCGGGGGATAACGAAGAAACACATACGGCCGAGGAGACATCGATGGACGAGAAGGTAACTGCGCTGCGGATCAACGTTAGCAGTTTAGCGCCACTGACTTTGTTATATAGCTAACGTTAACGCTACGTGTATAGCTTAGCCTCTTCGCCCCGCGCTCGTTATTGTTGACGTATCAACCAAAGCCAGCGGCTGAGCCCTGCTTATAACAGGTAGTGTTATTCGTCAAACCATGTCAGGACACGGCGGTACCGGTTAGCTGGCCGGTCGTTCCTGTTGCTAACAGAGGAAGTGTTTCGGATGGTTGGTGTGAATGTCAGCGGTGCCGCTAAGCTAATGTTAGCTGCTCGCCATTCACCAAGCTAACTGTCATGACATTCACACACACACTGGCTGTTAGCTCAGCTGCTAGCGTTAGCCTAGCTCAACCCAGCGGAGTGCTGTAGATACCCTAACGTTATCTTTACGTTTCTCCTTCAATTCCACTTTAGCTGCCGCAGTTTTGCGTAATGTTGTTTGCCAGACAGCCGCCTTAGCTGTAACACACAACAAACTGGCGGTTATTGTGCAACACACTTGGCTAGCTAGCGGTTAATCCTAGCCGTGGTCCAACCCGGTCCAACCCGGTCCAACCCGCTCAGGTTAGCTCGACTGAGTCTACTTTGGGAGGGGGCTGTCGAGGCAACGCTAGCCAATATTTTCTTTAAGCCTGATGTTGACATGGACACCAGATACCAGTAATAATGTGCTTGACTAATATTGTTATAACGTTAACATTTAACCAGTGTTGCATATATCATATTGAGAAATATTACGTTGTGTTAAACGCTTGTTTACGTTGAGATCTGTATGGACAGTAAGATTATCTCTATACCGCAGTGCCATCAGATGACACATATTTCAGTGGGAGCCTGCAGGCTCTCTTGTTCAGCAGTATCTATGTGGGTATTGAGCATAATGTATCCCCTTCATCTCAGTGCCTTGTGATTCTGCTTGTTTTCAGGAGATTCAGGACAAGGTGATCAGTCCTGAGAAGGCTGAAGAGGCCAAACTGAAGTCCAGATACCCAAATTTAGGAAACAAACCTGGGGGCTCTGATCTGCTTCGCAAACGCCTCCAGAAGGGGGTGAGTTATCTCTGGTGTTTGTTTGCAAACCATTCAGAGTTCACTTTTATAAAATAATATTAACTCGAGGTCCATTTTCTAGAGCATAACATCAACATCATTCAATGAGAACAGATTACGTTTTAGGAACACCTCTCAGCAATATAAATCAACAACACCATAAACTGCAGTCTCCAAAATGACTATAGAGTTGAATCAACAGAAGAGACAACAACCCCTGAACACTATATAAACTTCATGAAGGTAGGATTTATTGCAGGGATGTTCTTTGAGACTGTTAGGTTTAAATGAGCCTAACATAAATTGGTAATAAAGTGCATTATAACACTTTCTCCGTATATTGTTCCATGATTGATGCTCTTGTGATACTGGAATGATTAGTACATAGATAAGTAAAAATAATAGTAAACATTTGGTCACATTATTGACTAAGTAATCAATTGAATAATCTGTAATTGGAATAAGGCATACTGGCATAAGAGTGCTGAAATGATAAATTGATTCATTTATTTTTTGATTGACAGACTATTAGGCCATTTATCAGGTAAAACAAACATACCAATCCAAATATTTGGTAATTACTACTATACAAAGAGCAGCTTGCTTTTCTCATATTACATCATTTCATGCAGACATAAATTGAATACATTTAGGTTTGATGTGACTAAGTAGGCAATTTTATTACTTGTGCTGTAACACTGAAATTTTAAATACAATTGATGAAGAAGAAAGACCCACTAGGAGAAATAATGATTAGTTGCAACCCTAAATATATATACCAGTATGAATCTTGTCTGCTAAACAACCTTAAATTCTGTAGCTTTAGAGCGCCCTTTGGAGCTTTTTCTTGGAAAGAAAAAAGTTTTGTTTTTTGTTTCTCACCAGAGCAAATTATGTGTGTCCTTGAGGTATAACATGTTGAGTGCATTTCCTCGCTTGTAAAACATTCACAGTCGACTTTAAAAAAAACTAAAAAACATCCATGTTTACTTACCAGCAGCCTTCTCCTTTACTGCTTTGTTAATTTCCTTCTTTGTGGTGAGTTACGTCCACCAACTGTCTCTCAGCAGAATAGCACGAAACTAACAAAAAGGTTGTGTATCACAATGTGTTCGTGCTCACACCTGTGCATGTGTTTGCACAACACAGACTAAAGGAGGATCCACTTGTAAACACACTGCTCCTCAGCACCAACAGCGGCCAAAAACATTAAAACAACTACTTTTAAAACAAGATCAAAAAGGTTAAAAAAGGTAGACAAGTCTTTCTAAAATGGTCTAAAGATGAGTACTGTTATTATTCTAGCAATATCAGCAAACCTGCATATGTGGCGTACTAAAGGTACAATTAATTTCTCCTTGCAGTTTAATTAAAGTATTTGTCACATTGAAGGTTCGCTGTATTGGGAGTGTGCATTATTCACATGTGCTAGTTCTGTTTGTTTTTCGTAGTTCACAGTTTAAAATTGTAATCTCATGTCTCTCTACAGCAAAAGTACTTTGACTCTGGCGACTACAACATGGCTAAAGCGAAGATAAAGAACAAGCAATTGCCCACAGCTGCACCAGAGAAGACCGAGATCACAGGGGACCACATTCCCACCCCCCAGGACCTGCCCCAGAGGAAACCTTCTCTGGTGGCTAGTAAACTGGCAGGCTGATGCAAGCACAGCCTCGACAGCCCCTGCAGCACCCTCCAGCCCTAACCCCTCCCCACTCAAGTCTCAGAGCTGTAACATTACCTCCCTCAAACCCTCACACTACCATCTGTCCCCTGCCTCTGTCCTTTCCCCACCAACCTGGACCCCACCCAACAGGAACCCATACCTAGCACCCAGCATACTGGCTAGCTGGTACCTTCAAATCCTGTCTATTTTTGCCCCCCCCCATCTTGCCCTGTCTCTACTACCTCCTATCCTTGTTTTTGTTCCTCACTATCCCCTCAAACTGACTGCCCTTCTGTCTGTGTCCTCTTATATTTCCATGTTCCTTTTTATTTTATCTTTACTTCCATGTAAGATACGTTGAAAGACAGGACATCCAAGCGTGAGTGTGATGAGCGGACTCTGCGCGACTGATACCAGTGTTTACTGGCTGATGAGAGGGGCGAGCAGCACAAGCTGTGTCTTGTATGGTTGGAGGGCTTTAGTATGGTTCATCAGGATCCCTCAGTTTGGAAGTGTGTGTATATATATATATTTCCTTTTGTTTGGCACAGGGGCAGATGTCAGCCTTTTATAGCATTTTACATCAGATTTGTATCATTCACTGTATGTCCTCATTCTAAATTATGCTGTCAATATGCTTGAGCGATTGACTGAATATAGTAATCCAGCGGCCAAGCTCAGTTTTGTTAACACTTTGATTGTGACCCATGGTGTGTGGGGGGGGGGAGCCGTACTGAAGGACCACTCAGTGAAGGCCAGAGTGTCATATAAAAGTGCATGTGTGACGCAGAGATCCCAAAGCTGAAACTCACTGAGCTCCAATTTTTACACAATTTACACTAATGCCGAAAAGCTCAAGTGCAGCATACAAGCACTGGGTGGCATGTAGATGGTGCATTCAAGAAACATTTAATCTAGGAAAATGATCTACTTTAAAGAGTGAAAAAGGAGGGGGGATGGTGTTGTTGCTTCAGTTTGAACTGCAATGTTGAAAGTTTGCACTGTATCTTTGGTGTGCCATGCATTTCAGCCTCAGATGACGACTCAGTGACCCTCCTCAGGCCAAAGTTTCTAGTTCCAAGTTGTCATGAATGAATCATCAATGCTCAAAGAGGGTTAGAGGAGTATATGGAACCTCAAAGCTAAATTCCTGTCAGTAGGGACCAGTATTTGTGTCCTTTATGCTGTGTGAGTAGACTAAATTTATGGTAAAAAAAAAAACAAACAAACAATGAAGTGGGAGCAGCTCTTGGCACAGGGAATAAATAGTGTTATGAATTGTATTCAGACTTGAGAAATAAACTTCTATACTCATAAGTTGAAGTAGATTTATCTTAAAAATTTCCTCGGTCTGGTAAAGTGCTTTTCCGGGGTGCTTACTGACTGGATCAAATTTACCTACAATGTGGTAAATCTAAGCTAGCACTACATCTGTTTGAGCTGTGCATGTATATGGCTGCCCTACTGTCACTTTGTGCCATTTTGTTTGTAAATAAAATAGTTTTGCACAAATGTTTAATTGCTGTGTTGTGTTGACTTTGATGTTTAGTTCACATATTGTATGTTTAATGTGCTTTCAATCATCTAATCAATTCAATAATTCAAGGACATTTACAACACAAGGTTGCAGAATGAAAGTCAGATGTGGTTCCCTTTATAGTGCTTTAAAAAAAAATTATATAATGAGTTGTTGAGGAGGAATTTAACTCAGTCTCACAGCCTGAGGGAAGAAGCTGTCTGTAAGTCTAGTGGTACAACAGCAGAAGCTTCTTTACCTCTTCCCAGATGGCAGCAGGGTGAACAGACTGTGGTGCTGTCTTTTAGTATCCTTTGGGCTCTGCGAAGGCTCCTGACCTCACAAATATAACTGGTGCTGGGTAGCTGAGTACTAATGATCTTCTGGGTGGATTAATCACTTGCTGCCCCTCCTGTACTGGGCCGTGCACGTCCCATGCCAGTTTGTGATGTTTCCAATCAGGATGCTTTCTATTGCTCTTCTGTAAAAGAACTTGGCACGGGCATTTTGCCTTCTTCAGTGTCCTTAAGAAATACAGTCGTTTCTGTGATTTCTTAACCGGGGTGGAGATGTAAGATCACCATCACACGTTCTCTGTGAGGTTGATTGCCAGGAACCTAAAACTGCTCCACCTCGGTCCTACTGATGTAAACAGGGGAGTGTGTTTTTGCCTCTTTTTTCTTAAATTCAACAATCAGCTCCTTGTTTTTGCTGAGGTTGAGCAGTAGGTTGCTTTCTGTGCACCACTCTGTAAGACTGTTGAATTCCTCCTGATATGAAGTCTCATTGTTGTTTGAAATCTGGCCAATTACGGTGGGTGTCATCTGCAAACTTCACAACAGAGTGGTCTCCATCTCGGGGGGATGTAGTCAGGGGCGTACAGCGTGAATAGGAGGGGGCTGAGCACACAGCCCTGAGGGGCTCCGGTGTTGAGCACTAGAGTGGAGGAGGTATGACCACCAATCCAAACTCTCTGGGGTCTGTGGGGAAGTTAATACCCAGTTGCAGCGTGTGGTACTAGAGCTGCTCAGTTTACCAATCAGTTTCACGGGGTAGATTATGTTGAATGCTAATCAATGCATACATTTGACCACAAAATATTATTAAAATATTAATGGGCTTACAAAATCAACTTGGATGAAGCGAAACAGTGCCTGTTCATTTTGCCATGTTCTGGAAGCTTGGTTGAGGACAAACTTTCCCATATAGACAATAAAGCAAAAGTATTCATTTTTTTATTCCATTTTGTGGTAAATTCACCAGTTTGTAATGTACTTCTGAAAGAAAGTACAGAAAGAAAAAAATTGAACTCACTCAGAGGCAATCCAGCACCACACTTGGTTATCCTGTAAAAATAGTGTACTTTTAAATTTATTTTTATACTGTATGGATAAACCTCAATATTTAGTACCAACCAAATAAAATGGCACAGAATACCTCTTTTACAAAAATTTAACATCATAAGCTTCACAATCCTTTTGCAGGATTCTCTGACTCTCTGAGGGAGGCGTTGTACAGTTTAATGACCACAGGCAGGAATGATTTCCTGTGGTGCTCCGTGGTGCATCTGGGTGAGAGGAGTCTTCTGCTGAAGGTGCTCCTCTGCTGGGCCAGTGTGTCGTAGAGAGGGTGAGAGACATTGTCCAAGATGGACTGAAGCCTGGACAGCATCCTCCTCTCTGCTACGGTTGTCAGTGTCCAGCTCCTCCCCTACGATGTCACCGGCCCTCCTGATCAGTTTGTTTAGTCTGTTGTTATCTGCGACCTTCAGCCCACTACCCCAGCATGTGACAGTGAAGAAGATCGCACTGGCCACAGACTCATAGAACATCCTCAACATAGTCCAGCAGATGTTAAAGGACCTCAGCCTCCTCAGGAAATAGAGTCGGCTTTGGCCCTTCTTGTAGACCACCTCGGTGTTTCTGGTCCAGTCCAACTTGCTATTTAAGTACACCCCCACGTACTTATACGCCTCCACAGTGTCCACAGGGACCCCCTGGATGGAAACAGGGGTCACTGGTGATTTCGCCCTCCTCAGATCCAATATGAGCTCCTTCGTCTTTGTCACATTGAGCCACAGATGATTCAGCTCACTCGAAGTGACAAAGTTGCCCCCCACAGTCCTGTATTCATTCTCATCACCCTTTTCAATACAACCAACTATTGCTGAGTCATCAGAAAACTTCTGAAGGTGGCAGGACTCAGTGCAGTAGTTGAAGTCTGAGGTGAAGAGGGTGAAGAGGAAGGGAGAGAGGACAGTCCCCTGTGGGGCCCCAGTGTTGCTGACCACCCTGTCAGACACACAGTTCTGTAGGCGTACGTACTGTGGTCTGCCCATCAGGTAATCAACAATCCAGGACACGATGGGGGCCTCCACCTGCATCGCAGCCATCTTCTCACCCAGTAGAGCTGGACGGATGGTGTTGAAAGCACTGGGGAAGTCAAAGAACATGACTCTCACAGTGCTGGCTGGCTTGTCTTATGAGATTGTCTTATAAAGTAACATCACCGTATCTTTTTAAATAAAAATGTAATGCTTTATTTGTTTTCCAATTCTATACAATGTGCCAAATTTGAACCAAGGCATCAATATATAAAGTCTGACTGTTTTTTTTCCAGATCAGAGAAATGAACTATCATGGTTGCTGTGGGTTTTTTTTGTTGTTTGTGTATTTCCACCTCTCGACCATCGGGGGTCGCAGTTTCCCACGCAGCAGCAGCCCTCTCCGTTTGGCTGAATCATTTCATCCATCATACCCAGAATGCAAAGTGGGACGCCGAAACCCCAGCAGCAGCAGCAGCAGCAGCCTCAAGCTTTTCAGGTTATCATGGCGATTAAATACACATCTTCCCCTTGAACCTCCGCAGCAACAAAGGATTTCTTCCTCCGCTACATGAAAACACTCACCGAGTCTCAGGCAGCGCGGAGACCTGCCGGAGTTTTAGCCCAGATTGGAGAAAGGACATAGCGAGTGACCGTCATGGCAGCGTCAGAGCTGTACACAAAGGTAAAACAAGTGTATATTTATATGTATATAGCTAGCTGCTAGCATTCAGCTAATTAAACGTCCTACTCGCAGGTTCATGCTAGAATAAATGCCTTCACGTATTTCTGGACGTTGTCTCTGTTAACATGCTGACAGCTTGATTTCCGCTGTAGGGGAAAATGTGTTTTTTTTTTTTTTTAACATCAACTCTCGGTTTTGGTTTGAAATGAATGAAAATGACTGTGAAAGCACATAAAACCAGCTGCTGTGACACGCGCAGGGATGTGTTGGGGTGTTTAAATATAGATGTTAGCGCTGAAATGGGTGCAGCTCACAGAAACACAACAGATGCGGCAGAGTCGTCCTTTCTCATACACGTACCACAAAACAAAATGAGCTTTATTAATATATATATTTTTTGTCGTTTGTCACCTTGTTTGTACACCTAAAACAAGATATCTCCATCCCCCGGGCCTTCATATTTATCATCATCCCGCTCTGGAGGCTAGGGGGCTGGGATGATGCAAAGGCGGTGCCAGTCATCATGGAGGCTCTGCTCTTACGATTTGAAAACATAATATTTGGCGTTAGCTCAAACCTGTGCATCAACCTGACCTCCTGTTACTGTTTTATTTTTATGTTAGAGAGTGTCTGGGGGGCTTGTGACCCGGTTCTCTGGGCTGTGAGAGCCGAGAACCGCAGGTTGGGTACCGCTGAGATGCTGCGACGAGCGCCGCATCCGGACAGTTTAGCATCCTTTAGCATCCTTTAGCATCCAGGTTTAGACTAGCAGAGGCCCTGAAGCCTTAGTGGAGCTTTATATTCCCAAATGCTCGCTGAAGAGAATATGACACTGCTGCTGCCTGCGAGGCCTGTTACACTGAAGACTCACAAGGTCATAAGTGCTGCTGATGTATTTCTATAATTATAAATGTGAAACTAAGAAAGTGGTGTGTGTATGTGTGTGAGAGAGAGGGAGGGAGGTTGAAGGAGATGAGTCACCCATCCCCCTACTTTAAAAGCTGGTGTGTTCAGATTGAATAAGGTTGTGGTGGAGGGGACACATGAAAAAACGAGCTGATGACGATTGCCATTGGGATTCAACTCAACAACAGCATTGCAATGGATTTGTCATTTCAGTTTTATTTCAATTGGATCTGACATGTTGATGGAAGTTGTTGTTTTTTTCCCCCCCAGCCTCTGTTGTCATAAGTGCTTTAGATTACTGCAGACAGGTGGTCAAAGACCGTGTCTTTGAACCAGATGACACAGATTTGAACCCAGTGTCAGCAAATGGAGACTCTGCTGAAATGTTTAAGTCCTGTATCTGACCCTGATCTCTGATCTTGAAGGAGAGAGGCAAACAAAAAGGCACCAATCGAGTGTTGCTGAAACAATTGTTTGATTATTTGAGTGAAGGAAAATTGACCGGCAACAATTTATCGATTTTTGTGATCAAATGTGAATATTTGCATATTATCTTAGTCTTCAGTCTTGCATTGTTGCACAAAACCTAAAACGTGAAGACTTCCTCTTGGACATTTTGTATTTTCTGACATGTTATAAACCAAGCAATAGCTGGGTGCTAGCAGGTTGGCTGTGCTTTATTCCCCTAATTAAATGTCCTTGTCACACATTCTGTATCCTGTGACCAACAACAACTTCAATCTTTGCTATGGAAAATGTGTCTTTTCTAATTGTGATGGTGGCTTTAAATGAATGAAAATGGCTTTGAACCACATAAAACATGCTGGTCTGCCATGCAGTGTCACGTCAGATTAATCTAAAACAAACATAGTTGTTAATTGCAGTCTCAGTTGCATTATAGATTTAGGAACAATAAGGGTTGCTGCATGCTTCTGATCTCTTTGTATGTGTTGGCTTTGCTTAAGTAGCACCTGGGTGTGAAATTACAACCAGCCATCAAACAAAATGCAAGGAGATTTTGGCTGAGGCTGCTAAATCTGTTTCCACTGCCGGCAGGGTTTGGCTCGTCGCCAGCTATCAATCTTATTCCTTAAGAATCTTGTTGGGTTTTAAATGTTTTTTAATTGCAAAGGAATAAGGGAAACGTTGGATGTACGTGTCAGTGTAGCAGGGAAACACAAAGTTAGTTTCTACTTTGAATGGTACAGTCTGTTTTAGAAGTCAACTTCTGATGTCAGACCCCTCTCTGTGATTTACTTTTCCAACAGAGGGGTGGAAAACACTCTGGCCTTTGTGTGTATGAGTCAGCCTTATAGAAGCTTATTGAGTGGGTCTGAGCTGCTTGGTTAACATGCACAAATACACACACAAATACACACACAGCTTCAAATTCAGCTCCAATCTACATTTGGCTCCTGTCTGACCTGACCGCCAGTGTAAAGAGAGGTGACACAGAGGTGAATGTAGATTTTGTTTGTTGGAGGAAAAGGAAGAATCTGCAGTTGTAAACAATAATCAAAAAACATGTTTTTAATTAGATTTGACTGTTCCATTCGCTTGAGCCAAAGTAAATAAGATCAGGATCAAAACAAGTCAGAGGTTGAATATGAATGAAACAGTGCTGTGTAACTAAAAGTAGTGATGGAAGAGAGGGAGGATATTCTCATGGAAGTGAGGCGACACTTCATTACATGACTCGGAGATGGAAAGACTATTCAAACCACAGAGAGAGAGTTTTCAGAAATACATAATGTTTTATGGTACCAAGAGAAGAAGTGCATATTATTTATTTTTAGACTTTCTAGACTCAGCATCGATTCATGAACCTTAACTGGAGAATACTACAGTGTAGATACAGAGTCATATTTATGTTGTCTCAAATTCTCAAAGGCCATGGTTGGCTATCAGTTCTCAGGAGGAGCTGACAGTGAGACGCCAATGAACTATGCTCGCCACGTTATGTTCTTATTCTTTAATTATAATGACAGTAATACAAAACAGGCACTTAAAGTATGTGATTATGTTTCATTACATTAAGATTTTTGGGAAACTGATGAGGAAAGTTTTTCAGAAAGCAAGTCTCATTCATGCACATATACTGTATATTTATCGCAGTATGTGGTGCTTTCAGGTTCACATCACTCTACAGACCTTTGTGACATTATGTGACAAACTGCATAGAGCCTTTGCCTCTTTAACTCTCATACACACATACATGCCACTGGTGTACATGTGCCTTCATTCATATGTCAAACTGCCAGAAAGCTGTTACACACTTAAAAGGCTGTTAGCAAAGGAAAGATACACCTTTGACTCTGTATCAAGTCCATCAGGTTGGTGCCAGTGTATCAGCAACAGAGATGAAGTATTAGTATATTGTGGCAGTGATTGTATGATTGTTCAATCTTTGTCCTGCCTGCATGTGGTACAAGTATGGGACACTAAAAACTTTCACACGTGTTGCACATATGGCCACACGGCAGGAGCGTTGTCATGAACAGCTGATGGGAAGGAAAGCACCTATTGTTACATCACTTGATTGGCGGTTTTCCAAAGCACAGCATGCTTGGTTGTTTCAACCCACAGAGCAGTGCAGTGGTTTTCTGTGATTTAGTATACAGTTATTTTAATTTAATTTATCCCTAGCCCTAATTTTTATCCAGCTGCATGGCTCCATGGATAGCAATGTCGGTCAGTCGGTCAGTCGGTTGATCCACCACTTTGCTGCAAACTGAAATATCTCAACAAGTATCGGATGGATTGTCATGGAATCTGTTACAGACATGCATGTTACCCTCAGGATAAATTGCAATAACTTTGGTGATCCCCTGACTTCTCCTCTAGCGCCATCTCCCAGTCAAAAATTATATTTGTACAGCATTTTGGTTTATTATGAATGCAAAACTAAAGACATTCTCATGAGCCTTACCTGTGCTTTGTGTTTAGTGCAAATAAGCAACTGTTACCGTGCTAACACGTTAAACTACGGTGGTGAACATTACTTACACATACATTCCATATGATGGCCATATTATAGTAGTTTAGTTCATATAATTACGCAGTGGAACAGAACAATCATTCTTTCTGTGCCGTAGGTGTCATCTCAACTGCATCCGGCGCCCAGTGTTACGTTATCTAATGTCAGTGGTGTATTTTTTTCTCCTCAGCTCTAATTAAGAGCATGTGCATTCGATTACTGAGATAACCTGGTTAAAGTAATTGCATAGTCATGTTGTATATGCTCTGGCATGTAGTCACCGCAGTCCTGTCCAACACAGACGAACACACCGAGGGCAGACGCATAGAGGAGGGCTGCATGTTTATGGGTAAAAATGGTGATTCTGATTATCATGTTAAGCGTGACAGTGTAGAAATTTTCTCTTTTTTTTCTCTTTAGCATCTTATTTCAACATTGATTCAATTTTCAACTGGTATCCCAAAGTAAATTAAATATCATTGTTACACAACACAAATATAATCAAATATTTGGTTTAGTAACCAACATTTTGATCAATGTTTAGGTGTTCATGAAAAGCACTCCTCTAAAAGATTCAGGTTTACTGCGTGTCTATGCATCTGTCAGACGTTTTTTTTTTTTGGAGCCATGTCAGTGGCTTGTGGGAAAGTCTTGTTTTCTCGCTCTGAGAGTCTGTCTGCCTCCCAGCTCATGTGATTGAGAAAGGAAGCCGGGATGTTTGATAGACAGTCGGGATGGCCAGTCATCTGTCACAGGGCAGGGAACTTTAGGCAACGGCGGTGAACGCCGCTTGTGTCTGCAGACACAATGAGAAGGTTTCATCCACCAGTGAGTTCTGGAGCTCAGCGCTCGATCAGCTAGTGTCTGGTCTTGTAGCGCGAGTGGCTGTCACAGCATGAGCTAGAGACTTGGTAAAGAGACGATAAGAAGATGAACCGGGAGTTGGAGTATATGTTTGTCCAAGTAAGTTTTTGCTTCTTTTAGGCTTTCAGTTCTCGTCCCATGCCTCCATTCATTGATTAAGTAGATATATAGTCTGAAAGATCTTATGGTTAAAGGAGATTGATTTTAAATCAAATTAAACAGTTTGCTCTGTTGAAGGAGAAGCTAATGTGTC